CAGTTCCCCCCCCCCCACAGTTTTGTTACTTTTAAGATTTAATGTTAACTTTTAAGATTTTTTAATGTTTAAGTAATTATTATTATTTTTTTTAAAAAAAATTATGATTGGAAGCTCGATTCTTTTCTTTTTCTTTTTGAATTTGATTAAAAATAGTTTGCCGCTAGTACTCAAACAAATTTTCTTTTTAAAACAAAAACATTTAGTGAGTCCGAAGAAACTTTTAGAGAAGGAATTTTTAGAGAATACGAAGAAACTTTTTTTTTTGTAACATTTTTAATAAATAATTTATATTTCATAGAAATTTTTTTTTTTTTACTATTGGGTACGGTTTAATTTTTGCAACTTAAAAAACAAACAAACCCACCAGAATTTTTATTCATAAATTTTTAAAAATACAATTGAAAAATTTATCTTGGGTTGATACAGGGTTAAATTTTAGCTTTATTCTTATTTTATAAATTTTCTTGAACTTTTAACTTCGTTTAATTCATAATCTTATGAACTTCAAAATAATAAATTAGCTTTATTATCAGAAAATGATCACATTATATGAATTGTGCATATGAAATCTGTATTTTACCTTTTTCAATTAAATAACGATTCCACGAACCATTTCTTTTTATCTTTGTTGTTTCAACACCATCTAATTCTCTGTCGAATTTTAGCGCAGCTCTTCTAACTATGGATGAATTCTCATTTTAAAATCATCCATTTCTTTTTAAAATTTGGTATATTTATCTTTTTTGGATTAACTCTATGATTCCAGTTGGTCAACATTTGTTTGATCCATTCTACTACCTATTTTATAATTTGTCTATTTGCAATTTAATCAGTTATTTTACACTGCAAATTTTTAAATATTGCCGCGTGATCATTTGTTAATGAAAGATAGCTAGCCTCCGAATTTAATGTTTTCTTCTTGCCTTCTGTGTTTTATTCATAGTAAATTATTCATATTTGTTTGTTTTAATGAGTTTATTTGAACAGTTTACTGTTTAGTAGTTACTGTTACAATTGTAACAGTAACTACTGTAACAATTATAATAAAATAAAACAAACTGTAACAATTACTGTTACAATTAGTATTTTCGGGGGATTTTTCAATTCGATTTTTTTGTTTGTTGCTTATAATTTATATTTGATAAGAAGAGAGGCTTTGAGTTAAAATGTAAAGCAACATTCCAATCCCATTCGACCTTGTTCAATTCTTATGTTTTGACTTCCAACATTTCACAAGATCGCCATTTTATAAATTAAGGCATTTAATGTCCCACGCAGAATGAGTTGGAAAACATGGATAATCTAATTTCGTTTAGTGAAGGTTTGTGTTTAACAATACTTCTGAATCCCTTCTCAAAGGCAAGTCTCGATGCCCACAATTAACACGCGATTGTCTACACAAAATGAAAAGCCCAATGCTAATTCTGCCGTTACCTACCGCAGACTTTCTTGGAATCTCGGTACTTTTTTTTATATTATTCATTACCTTTAAAGCTATTATAATTGCTTCGTATATCTTAAACCGATTGGCAGTTGCTTACTAAGTTAATGAATTTTTTTCTTCCTCTTCTGGTAATTTGTTTTCCCCTCCTAAATTTTGTTCAGACCCTCATTATCAATGATTGGGGACAGTGTTTTTCATTGCCCTCGGTCTTTAAAGAGACGATATGCTTAGTTAACTAGTCATTTCTGTTATCGCCTAGATTAACTTACATCTTGGAGTGTGTTTCTGTATAAATGTAAGCATAATTATCTATGATTCTGAATAATTATATATATATATATATAGTTCAAAATGAAGAATAAAACAAAGACAAATTATAGACATATGAAAAAAAAAGGGGGGGATAATAAGTAAAAAACAAACAAACAACAGTTTAAAAAAAAAAAAGGATGAAATTTTACTTAAAAAACCGGAAATGCATAGTGTTTTTTAAATAAAATTTTATCCTTTTAAAAAAAAGCAAAACTGTTTGTTATTTTTTTACTTATTATCCCCCCCCTTTTTTTTTTCTTCATATGTCTATAATTTTGTTTTGTTTTATCTAATGAGTTTAATCTCATTTTGAACTTATCTAATAAGTTCTGTTTACTTGCAGCTTAAGCGCAATAAATGAAACTTATTGTTTTTCTTAACTTTCTTCGTGTTTTCTTCTATTTATTTATTTATTATATATATATACGCACACACACTGGTGAGCAAAACTTAAGCAACAATTGGTTTTTCGGCTTCAGCTCCCCAACAAAGTATAAGATAGCCATGAAATTGCAGTATAATATGCACGCANTACTGATGGAATATTGTATATATATATTTCATCAGTTGGGATTATTTTTTAAAAACATTTTTGGTTATGCATAGTGTTATCGAATATTTACCTCGCTAAAGTGAGTTTTGGTGATTCTTTTGTAATCAATGTATAAAAGATTTATTCTCGTTTTATTAATTTTTTTTTACTTATTCGAAATTGTATAAAGGTAATAAAAAATTTAAATAATCAAATTTACTAATACTTTCCCACATTTAGCGCAGTTAACAAAGTAAGAAGGTAGTTATAAGATTTTAAAAAAAACTAGCTGCATCCAAATGGAATAAAGAGATTAAAATCGCTTCTTTTGAAGAAAAGTAAATTTTCATTTAAAGGAAAGAAAAAATATTACATTAAAACAGCGTAAATTGATCTATGAACGTTAGAATTATAAAATGATTGATTGTGTCTCGTTTTTCTTCAATGTCAGGAGTCACTGCTGGGAAATAAAAATTAGGTAAAATATTGACGCATATTAAGGATCTGTAAGCCTAGATAAAGAGTTCGTTTCTAAATATTCGGTAAATGAATATAGCGATTTTTTTTTAAAGATTGCAAGAGTTCATTTTTTAAGATCCAAAATAAATTTCTGCCCAAAAAGTGTGAAGTTGACAGGGAGGGATATGAGATAAAAATTGAGATTTTCAAGAGCAGAGATTTTGTTCAATGAATCAAGCAGAGATTAGCTTGATTCATTTAAAATGTTTTTTTTTTTTGGTTTATTTTATAAATTTTTGATGAGTAGCCAGGAAAATTTGTTTTAGTTGAAGCTAAAATAATGTCAGAGCGATCGACCCTCAGCTCTTTCATCTCACCATTGAGATAATTTATGATCTGCGAATTTAAAATATATTTACACGTAATGAAATTTCAAGGCATACTAAATTGGTCCCTATTAAGCAAAATTAAAGTGTCATCTATGGATTTGACATTAATACATTGTCAGGGGTCTGTCCAGACATTTTGTGAGAGGTCCGTTTTTCGTGAAATTGTGAAAAAATTACTCACATTCTTTCAATCAGGGTCCGCTTTTATGAATTTGTGCAAATAGGGTCCGTTATTGCAAAAAAAATTTTTTTCAAGGAGTTTTTTAATTGTAAAGACGTACAAGGTTATGCTCAACACTGTAAAATTGAAATTAAAAAAATTAAATTTTAAAAAATAAACAACAATTATTGCTCCTAAATTAGAGATGCAACATACAAATATTTGGTATTTAGCCTATACTGCTGAACGCAGAATATTAATTTCGGACGAATAATGGAAGAATCGTCTGCCGAAGACAAAACTTAATTCGTTTACATCCATCTTTCTTGTTTTCTGCCCTGGAAGGGGTTTATTCGATTAATAAAATAATAATGAAGATAAACAAATTTGTGAAGGGTGCGATTAAAAGAAAAATCATTTTGTGAAGGGTCCGTTTTTAAGTTAAAATATTTTGTGATGGGTCCGTTTTGATGAAAAGATATTTTGTGAAGGGTCCGTTAACGGATCCAAATTTCTTATAAGCAGACCCCTGCTAATGTTTTATGTATTTATGATTAAAAATTATGTTGTTTAAAGTTAACATTTTTACCTTGCTTTAATTGTTAACTTTTTTTTCAGACGGCGGTCGGCTGGCGAAGGAGTTGGGGTACATGAAAAAGACTCTTGGAGAAGGTGTGGGCAGTACCAACCAAATCGTCATTCACACCCCCAAGGAGAAAGGGGCCAACGTTCTCCACCCTGATACTCTACTTACCCACCTTCAAGTTCTCAAGGCAGCTATCCAAATCTCTGTTGAGGTCTTTGACATGTGAGTTCTACCCTTCTTTTTCTTTCTTTCTTTTTCTTCTTTTTCCTGAAAAAAAAGAGAAGTGAAGCTGTAGTAGTTATTTTTATTATTTGGTGAATGTGTACTGAGTGAATGGGATTATAATTGGCTCTGAAGAGCGTGTCGCCGTTTCCTTAATTTCAGTTGTGACAACTTTGCCGCTGAGTGTTCAATTTCTTTTTTTCTCCTCTCTCTCCTCAGGTAACACCTCAATTAGCATCTGCCCTGGAAAAGAAAAAAAAAATCTTTGATGGAGGAAAAAAAAATTGTAACTTAAGAAAAATCACTAACATTTTCTGAAATTTTTTTTCTTTTATGCTTTAACTTAAGTATGTATATTCCTAGCTGACAAGTTATTTTTATAACTATTTTTTCAACACACTTTTTAAAAATGATTTAATCCTATTAATTTTGTATATTTATGATACAAAAAATTATGCATTTAACTGAAACTGTGCAATTTTTCAGCAGTTAATTAAAGAAAATGATTATTGTGATTAACGTAACATTTTTTCTTGAGTATTGTGATTAACGTAACATTTTTGCTTAAGAAATGGTACGTTAATCATAATATTAATTTTGTGTAATTAATTATTTATACTTTTATTAATTATTTCTAAAAAAATACATAGTTAGACATTTAATCATTGTTTTCAAGAGTGGGACACAATTTTTTGTTTTCAGTTGTATTTAGATAATCACGCAACATTATTCAAAATGGAATGACACATGGAAAACTATTTTTGTTATATGATAATGTCAAAATTTTCTGTGTATTAATCTCTGTTGACACTATGCATGCGCTTAATAGCATCTGTTTGTCAAAAATTTTATCAATATTATCCTTTGTGATTTTATGTTAATACAGTTTGTATTGTTATTCCGTTATAATTCATTTAATTTGAATTGCGTTTTGTTTTTCAGACCCTGGAGCTTAAAAGATCTGTGTTATTCCCCTAGTTTTCCCCTTTTTGAAAAACATTATTTAGATATGGTATGTACTGGATTTGATTGAGGCATTCATTTTATAAGAATCAAATTATTGAACATATCTGACGTTCTTTTTTTCTTTCTTTTCAGCCTTTAGAAAATTTATTTCCTTGTGCTATAATTACTCCTTTAGACTGCTTTTGGGAAGGCTCAAAGCTTCTCGGACCAGAGTTTCCTGTAAAAATTCCGTAAGTAATTGATTTTAATTTAATTTGACACCAATTGTAGTGCAGAAAGGATAACATACAATTTCTGATATATGCTTGTAACTCCTTTTAAAGATCTGTCTATTGTCTTTTCCTCGCAGTTAATTCTTTGAAGTTAGTAGCATCTCACGAGTTCACGTTTTGTGCGAGCTTTGTGTGGAACCTAGATTGTTTTGTAGCTACTGCGTTATACAAAACAAACGTGTGTGAAGTTGCCAAATCCTAGTGTTAGAGAGATTTTACTGTCTCACATGATATCCTACACCTTCACGCGATGCGCAGTCACTCCAAAACAACCTTAGTTCTCAACGGAACTTGCGCAGAACCTGCGTACGTGATCGTGCGGGATGCTAAGTGACATAGCGAAATCTCTTAAATGTCTTTTACCATTAACGCAAAAAACTGATTTTGAACTCTTCATTCAATCCAATCTAAAACGAGCTATCCTTCTATTTTTATCATTATATTTAGATCATTTCCTATTTATTCCCTTGTTAGAATCCCGAATTGTTTTTTTAATTGTTAATTCACCCAAGAGATAGGCAAGCTTTTAATGAGTTTAAATGGTTTTTATTTAATAACAGGTATTTTTTGTGATATCATCATCAGATCGATGTTTGATTTCTGTTTAGCCAGAAGTTGCGAAATGACCTTATAATGTTCTTGGGAGGTAAATGAAATAAAAAAATAAGACAATTTAATACCACTTTTGGTGGGTGTTCCTTTATTTCTCTCTACCTTCTGTCAAGTGAATTGAAGAGACCTCCCAAGTGAAGAAGAGGTCGTTTTCTATCACCTTCTTCCCCCCTCATTTGATTCAGATATCTTGTTTTCGCCTTTCTTTTTCTTCTTTTATTTTCGATGTCTTCATTTTGAATAAAACTTCAGTGGGTTCTATAGGTTTAAGGAAGGGAACACGTGAGTGGAAATTTTTTTTAAAATTGGATTTTTATTAATTTGATTGCCTGCATTCAATAACATTTCTCCGAAAGAAAAGATTAGAAATGCACCAAAACTTACCTGCAATAAGTGCTGCTATAATCAACAAAAGGAGGCAAAAATATTGATATTCAAACGCGTTTCTATTAAAAAAAATTTTTAATATGCTAAAATAAAGGAAAACTAGTTTTGGTCAATTAAATTTTGTTTTCAATATCCCACACGCGTTGTTCTTAAACAAATGGAATAGCTCTCCCCAGTCTAGTTAGATTGTCATTGGATGGGGGATAGGGAAAAAAATAAGTGAGTGAGAAAGAATGTCCCCCCCCTCTCCCGGTCATATCCGCATGTTTATTTTCTTAAGACGTTGAAAGCTGATTGCTCTTCATACATTTTTTGCCGCACTTTCAAAAGATTCCGACATTTGCCGGGGGAACTGAAATTTCCGTTTTACTAAGTTAAAAAATTTAATTTTATGTATTTGTATTTCTCAAGTATGTAGTTACATAGCTGCCAACCCTTCTGCATTTTGCAGAAGCTTTCTGCATTTTTACTTATTTTAGCTATTTTTTCCTCTTTTATGCGCAGAAGATAAGATCTTCTGCATTTTACCCATCTGCCTGATAGCTAGTATTTTCTTTAAGTCAGACGTCGCTGTTCCTCTTGTAACAGCGTTTGGCAGGGCCGTAACTACATTTATAATCGAATATTGTACCATCAAGTAGCTGGTCGAAAGTTTTTTTAAAAGATATTTCCTTTTTTGTTTTAAAAAAAGATGAGTATTGCTTTTTTTTTGCTAATATTAAGTGGATTTATAAATAAATAATTAATTAAAATAATTAAAATCCGCTTCTTTTATAAATTTATTGGTAATTAGTATGTGCTTGCGAATCTTCTGCATTTTTACTCATTTCTTCTGCATTTTATTTGTCTATCTTCTGCATTTTTATAACTAGAGGTTGGCAGCTATGTAGTTATTTTATAAACCCATTTCGTAAGAATAATAGTTCTAAATAATTTTTTAAACTTATTATTATAGTGGCAATTGTTAAAAAAACATCGTATAACGTATTATATTTTTATTGCATGATGAAATTCAAGTTCACTTGGTATCTTTCTGATCTAATTAATGGAATTATTTTTGCTTCGCTTTTTTTTAAAAACTTTAAATAAAATTTCGATTAGCGGTAGATAAATTTTTCCTTTTTCTTCTTTATTATGAACAATCAAATAATTGTGTAAACCACGTGTATGAAGCCTCAAACTTCGTGTCTAATGAAATAAGTAATATTTCAAATCTGGACGATAGCTTATATAGCCTCATTTTTAGTATAGAATGCTTTTGAAAAGTTGCGAAAAAAATTTTGCGTTTTTTTTCAATTATAATTTAATTTGGCCTTTAGTGAAATTTTGTTCAATTTTTTTACTTCTGGATAAAACAAAATCGAGTTAAAAGTATGAAACATGTTTGTATACTTTCAATTTCTAGAGTGCTTTTTTTTTTTTTTTTTGTAAACTAAATATGATAAAATCGGTATTTTTTGAATACTAAACATCCATGTTCACCGTCTTTGTTATTTTGGGGGAATATTTATAGAGTTTAGAGTGGGAGCAATTTTTATTTAGTTGATGTTCCACCTTATTTTTTTTAAATTGATCCACACCAAATGTGATTGCATTCCTTGAAGATTATTGGTTTCTTACTCTACATGCAGCCATGACCTGCAACTGTGCTGCATGGCAGGAGGTCTACATCTAGTGTGGTGGCTGAGAAGTGTCTCCTATCTCTCTCATCTTGACAGTTTTTCCTCTTACTTTTTGTGATTTGTGACAGTCAGCTGCATGATCCGTTTCGCTCTTTTGTTACCCCCTCCCCTTCTACCATTTGTGTCTTCTTTTCCCTCTCCTTCCACCCCTTCAAAGTTGAAAGTCTTAAATGAGACAGACCTTCTTCAAAAATGATATCAACTATCCCATTCTATAAAATGGTTCACCTATTTGTGACAGAAGAGGAAAGAAAAAAAAAAGAAATATCGGCACGCATTGATTTACATTGCATTATGTTGACTATAATTATAATGATCGAAGACAGTTTTTAATTTCTGCTTACGCTAACCTTGCGATGCTGGAACCCCATAGCTCATCCTATGACACACAATACTGCTGTGTGTTGAGAAAATTACCCTCCTGCTCTGTAACTTAGCGTTAAGACGTTATTTTTGCGTTAAATACTGTAACGTTAGTTAGTGTTTGAGTGACAGGAAACCGTAACGCTTTACAAAATTTCTCTGATGTGAGTGAGACTCAGCGGCAGCGTGTCTTAGTGTACCCCACTTAGTGCACCCCAATGATCAACGTGTTAAGTGACACGTTTATCATTGGGGTGCACTAAATGTACATTTGTTTAATATATTAAAATAATCCGTAGAAGTATAGAAACTTTTTAGTAATCGCAAATAGTTTAAAATTCTCTCAATTATAACCACTTTAATGCTAGGTTTATCCTTTTTAACTTCATAAAATTTAGTGTTCAATAAATAAATAAATAGAACAGTTATAGTGCCTACTTTAATGTGATTATATCTAAATCTGAATGTTTGGTGCTATTTGTAAGCCGTCGTCCTATACCCAATTTTCTTTTTTGTTTTTCCCCCATAAAATATAGAGAGTATTTTCTGACAAATTTATAGTTTCCATTTACATTTATATAGTTATACATTTGTAATATACAATTTCATATGTAATATATATTCATATATATTATTTATGAAATTGCGCAACTGTGATGCACAATTTTATATACTATAGGGGAGAGTGGGGTCAATTGTAACATTTTTTACTTAACTATTTTTAACTAACAAAAAATCCAATATATTATTAGTATTAATTGACAGACGAGTAAAGTAGACTATCCTCTACTAGAAAAAAAAATAAATACCTTATTTTAAATGTTATTATATTAGTTATTAACAATTTTTGACAGTCGTGCACTTGTTACAATTGTCCCCACTTACGGGGTCAATTGTAACAGTTCATAAATTCAACTAAAACATAGTTAATTATACATATTATCATAGTTGTGATATATTTTTTTATTGATCAAAATAGTAGTGATATTTTAGGAGTAAAAATAATAATGAGCAGAGACCTAAAGGGTTAAACTTTTAACTTTAAGGGGTTAAAAATTTTAATTTATGCTGTGAAAGGTGACAAATAAAATAATGCACATGCAACATAATATAAATGATATAGGAAACTATTGGTGGTTCTTAAAGAGTTAAGTAATGGTTTGTAAACATAAGATTATTTATTTTCAGCTGTTACAATCGTCCCTTTACTTATTGTTACAATTGTCCCCAAGACGCCATTTCAGCTTCATTTGTTAAAAACAATGCTAGTTAATTAGCAAAACTAATTTTTTTTTTATTGAAATGTTAATTAAGGTGTCCACTTACATATTCGGTTACTAATTTTTATTTGTTTAAACAAAATTACTTTGTTACAATATAATATTCTAATACCAAAAAAAGTACTTGCGTGGCGTGAAAATATCTTTTGTGATGTAACTCTTTCAAAAGTACATAAAAATGGTTGCCATCAGGGGTGTACATGTAGATTTATTAAATACACCTTGTGCGCCACCTAGGAACCAAATCTATAACCCGACACTCGAAATTTTTGCTCTGTTACAATCGTACCCTGTTACAATTGACCCCACTCTCCCCTACCAATAGAGCGCGCTGTTGTTTAGTGTGCGATAATCTATGTGCTGTATACTTGTCTTTCGAACAGCTGCTGTAATGTGTAAATTTCTGATTTTGTATGAGATTGTAGATGCGATAGTTCAGCGTAAAAGCATTAGCATGTAAAACTGCAATATTCATGTGTAAGTAAAGTTACAAGAAGGAAACAATGATTTATGAACAATTTACAATAATAACCAACAATCAATAATAGTTTACAGTAGCTGCTCGAAAGAGCGATACAAGATTCATATTCATTAATTTATTTCTTAATACTAGTAAAAGCTTGTAATGTTCTGTTATTTATGCACCATCATCTATTAACCAGTTAAGATACATAACTTAGTCTTATGTTTGTTGAAAGAAAACACTGCCTCACACTTGCACATATCCCTTCCACGTTCTGATAAATTTTAAGCTGCATCTTCCTAGAGTAATGAAAAATAGTGGGTCATATAAGTATCGCTGAAAAAAAATAATAATGTTATAAGACACTTGAGAACGAACGACTTAGAACATATTCGAAGCATTGCTGCTGGTCTTCGGACTTAATCTCGCAGTAAATTTCGATAATGGATAAAGCAAATTTGATTAACATTCGGCGAAATAATTTTAATGTTATCCATAAATTACTCGGTTCTGGGAAAACACCAAACAGCTGATTTCACTTACCAGAGCGTGTGTAAACCAGCTTGCACTGTGCTAAAAATACGAACCCGATACACAATGGGTTATACTTGAATTCAATATTTCACATTCATCTTAAACTTCAATAATGTATTTATAGTAAACAAAAAATGACATTTAATTTGAAAAACTGCATAATTGAGTAACAGTATAACAGTATTTTAAACAGTATTATAAGCAGTATTTTAAATTTTCGTACAAGGTTAGTCATTGAACATGTCTTTTCAAGTAAGGTACGAGAATCCCTTATGCATGTATGCCTTATGCATTTTATCTATGTATTTATCGAAAGAAAAAAAAGCGTCGAAATCTTTTAACATTTTGTATCGTGTCAATTTCAATTAAATAACTTAAATGTCAGAAAGATAAAATATATATTAGAAAGATGATAAATATTTCATCGATATTATTATCCTAAGAATCCCTGTCATGTTTCGTATCTTGATGCACCATTCCTTGACCTTCACTAATGCAGGATGAAAATGCCCCTTAAACCAACATTCTTGAAGTAAGCAGAAAATTAGGCTATAACATGGCTGCCCACAGGATATACCCATTGTTGAAACTGAGAATTTTTCTAAGTGCAGGGATAGGAAAATTACTAGGATATCATCCATCTTACTGACTCTCTTGAAAAAGTGAAATTAGTTGTTCTCTCCCAGCAATTCTTCCTCTCTCCACATTGTTCATAAGACATCCCCTTTTCCAATGACTTTTCTCAGAAAAATGTTGTGGTATTTGTCAAGATGTTCCTTGGGCGTGGTTAAATATTTTTCTCATCAACTATTTTTGTTTTGTTTGATACGTGTGTAAATAACTACCTGTGAAATTGCCTTCTGTTTTTTTTTGCCTATCATATTAAAATTTATTTTGTATTAAAATATTTTGTTTTCAATAAATTTATTGTGCTATTCACTTAACAATTATTTCATAATGTGAACAAATTTGTCATACATTACAATATTGTTTTACATGTGTCATCTAACAATTTTTTGTTTTAAAAATTAATTTTAGTGGTTTAAATCGATACGTTCAGTGGACTAATTTAAATCCTCAGTGGTTGATGGATACTGTAAAAAACTTTGGAAATTATGTACAGTCATTACCGTTACACACGATAGAATCATTTATGAAAAGAGTAAGTACTGATTTTTTTTTGATTTTTTACATGCAGGTGGTTTATTAGTTTACTTAAACCAGTTTGATCGATCTGGTTAACGATCTCTTTATTGCAATAAATTTTATTGTTTCAATGATGGTACTAAAATGACTCATATTTCCGTTATTGTTATTGTTAATTTATGTCGCACTAGAGCTGCACAATGGGCTAAATGCAAATTGACATAGATTTTAAACATCACATACGGTAAAATTCTAATTTTGTGATCTTAATTGTTCAAAATTGAACTGAACTAGAACTTGTCATGAAACTCTCCAATGGAAATAGGTGAAGAGAATCGAAAATTATTTTGTAAAAAAAGCGTTTGCGTTTTAAGATGTTTGCTACAGAATAAGTTGAAATTCCATTCTGTGGCAAAAAAAAAAGCTCGATTCCCATTTCTATTTGCAACTGAAATAAAAAAAAAGAATCTAATCAGCTCTACACAAGTTGTAAAGCAGGTAACCCATTCGGTCCACTGACTTGAATGAACCACTTTCTACCAGAAAGAAGAAAAGGAAGAAACAAAAGTAAAACCAATAACAAAACAAATTTCATTAGAAGGAAAAGAGATAGCTGAACAGAACTGGAGGGCACAGTGGCCACCCGCCTTACGATCCGTGTGGTCCCCGGCTACGTCATCGTGTTTTCCCCCCTCGTCGCCCCTATCGCCCACCACCGAAGTTGGCGGCATCGCTCCCTTCCTCCCTTACCACTGCCTTATTCTTCTTTTACTGGTAGCGGGCATTATAATCCGCTTTTTTTTCTTCTTTTTTTTTCTTTTCTCTATGCTTTCGTTCATATATATCCTTCTATGAAAATATTCCTTGTACGGTGTGGGTTCTTTCTTTCTTTTTAATATTTATTTTTATTTCTTTTACTCTTGTGAAGTCTTTCTTTTTTCTCCAGGCTAATATCTCGTCATGAAAAGTTTAAAGGCTTGTAAAAAAACCGATGCTATTTCCTTGCCTTTTTTTTAACTATTTTTCACGTTTAAGTGTGGTTTACTTTTCACAAGTATTAGCTTTTTTTTTTCAATGAGTGATTTGTTTTAGGATATTTACAATGGTGTAGGATATTATAATAAAGTGTTATTTTTATCATCATTTTTTGAAACTGTTACAAAGTTTTTAGATCCTATTTATTTTTCGTTTTTTATTATCGAAAGTTCACATTAACATTCCATTTGTTAATCAAATAGATTCTAAATAACTGGAACTTCAGTTAAATCAAATAGATTCTAAATAACTGGAATTTTCAAATGAGTGCTTTAGGGGATACATATTTACAATGTGACATTTGTAAATTAATTAAAAGTGATAGTGTTATGATTTTCTTTTAAAACTATTGCAAATAAAGTTCTTAATTTATATTTTGAAATAAGATGCGGTTTGTTTTTGGTTTCATTTTAATTTTTCGGGTGCTCTTTACACTATTGTATTAATATATTTTTCTTTGACTATATCAATACAAAGTTAGAAAGCTCTCTTTTTGCAAATGTAATCGTGCCGGCGCACGACGAGATAATATCTTTTTCTTATATTTTCCTGCTTTTAATTTTTAAAATTTTAAAATATTTTTTTAAAAATATTTTATTTTAAAAATTTATCTATGCACATTATTTGTTTTTTTTTTAAAAAATAGCTGAGTAAGTGATTCTTAAAGATGATTTCTTAAAGGATTTGCAAAAGTAGTATTTTTACCATTCTTGTTTATCTTCTGTTGAAAGCTGCAACCAAGACAAATAGGAAGGGGAAAAAAAAGAAAAGAAAAAAAAAACTATGGTATTAAAAGTGGGATATTTAGATGAGAGAAATATACTGTGAAGAGAATGTTTAGGCAACTTGCCAAATCTTCTTGTGTGGTCTGTTATCTGATCATTGGCAACTCTACATTATTCCAGCATTCATATCATTCATTTCACAGGGGTTAAAAAAATCACACTAAACTATCAAGATTTTATCACTTTTAATAAATTAAAAGGAAGAGAAATTAAATTTCCTCCATGTTTACCTGTAAAGAATCACATGACACATCCGCAATTTCCTTTTAGAAATGTAACTAGTAAATCTTATTGAATATTTTTTAATTTCATTTTTTTAATGAATTTAGAAGAAAATTTTCAAATTTATTTTGCTACTTTAACATTAAACTTCAACATTAAACTGTTAAACATTAAACTTGCAAAAGTTTTAATTATACCTTACAATCTTAAAATTTTAATTTAAGTCACTAAGTTTAATAGAACACATTTTAATAATAGCATGAAAGAAAAATATTTAATAGTTGCATGATGAATGTGAAAATTCTGTTACTGTTAATTCTGCGTCAGAGAAAGTAGAATTTCTTTTTTGTCTGAAGAATTCAGAGGAATTCGATTTCCTCCTTATTTATCCATGGAGAATTATATGAATATAGTTTTTTTTATTTATTTGGTTGCTGTTGGAAGTAATTGAATTATTATTTTGGAATTTTCAGGGAAAAGACTCGTTAACAAGCATTGAATTACATATGTGTTTTTTAAAAAGGTTGTTAATATTTTAAATGCCTGTGTTGGTATTCTTTGAAAATAATTATTCAGATATTTATTGCTTAAAAATTTTTAATTTTAATAATGTATTTCTTAATATAAAGTTCATAATCATATCATAGAAGATCATAGAATTATGGATATTATAATATGTTTGTCATGATTTGATTTCTATGCTGTTTAATTTATCAACTTTGGACTTAAGTAATTTTTATTTTAATTGAACTGAAAGCACACAACGAAGCATTATAATACTTTATCAATCAATATATTATTTATAAATTAAAAGTAAAAAATAAAATGTAATGTAAAAGTAAAATCCGATCCCGAAAAGTAAAGTAAAATCCCTTTAAATCCGATGATTGATTAAGGGAAGTTACAAAAAAATATGGTTGTCCATAGTTACAGTTATTCAATTAATATTTATTTTAATAGAAGAGCCAAAAATATTTTTCAAGTCAATTTGAGATTAAATATGAGAATAAATTTTAACCTTCTTTAATAAAATATTATTTTTATTAATTTTTTTCAAGGCAACAATAATATTTTATTGAGTTTTTTTTTCACATTAAAATTTTTTTATTAAGTGAATGAACGTTTTTATTAATGTGTTTTATCTGTTATTCAGGCTGGTATTACTACTGCCTATCAAGAAAAACCATGTTTACAACCATTAGATGAAGAATGCCCAGCTACTGCACCAAATAAAAGAAACCGCCAAGTTAGTATTTGATTCCACATTACTAATTTTCATGTCTAGGAGTCATAATTCATTTCCATTTTTCAAAGGCATTAAAATTTGATGACATTAAGGTCTGATATTCTTAATCCTTACATACAGCACATACTCAGGGCCAGATTAAGCGCACTCAGGGCTCTAGGCCATTCAAATTTTTGGGGACCTTAGATTAAAATTTTTTTTTCTGGTATATTTTTATTTATTCAAATGGAAAATTATTTATATATCTTTTCATTTGTGAAAGCAAATTTAAAATACTAATAAATAAAATTTTATTTTATATTGTTAAATTCAAACTAAAAAAATAATTGTATTTTATTAATATATATTTGAAATTGATTTTTTAAAAAAAAAAATCATTGTTTTTCTTAAATTTTGTAAATTTATTTTCAAAATTTTTTTTTTTTTAAGGGGGCCTCTAATCATTGGGGGCCCCAGGCCATGGCCTAGTCTGACCTAATGGGTAATCTGGCCCTGCACATACTAGAGAACTCTTTACCTGTAAGCTAGATTGTAAGTTCATAATTTAAAAAGGAAATTAAAATGTTGAACAATCTCATATTTAAAGTCCATACTTAACATGTTAATAAGCTAAAAGATCCGATTGAGATTTATTTTTTTTTTACTGATGAATGGGTATGTTAATTTCTCAGTTGAAATAAATAGTGTATAGGATATATTTATGGTCTTAATAAAAAGGATTGTTATTTTTTAGCCTTTGGACATTGGGGCTAAAATGACTGGTGGTTGCTATGGCTTTGCAACCAAATACATGCATTGGCCTGAAGATGTTCTTTTGGGTGGTATAACAAAAAATAAATCTGGTCATATTATAAAGTATGTTAATTTCTGTACTATGTGATAAATTTCAGTTCATTTGTTTATTGATTTCTAATTATGATTTTTTAATACTTAGAGCTGAAGCTTTGCAAACAATTGTACAGTTGATGGCAGAAAAAGAAATGTTTGAGTATTGGCGAGATCATATAAAGGTACACAACTTGGATTGGTCTATAGATAAAGCAAAAAAAGTGATTGAAGCTTGGCAAAGAAAGTTTAATGAGGTTTGTTGATTTTTATAATTTTTTTTAAAGAGATGCCATTATGTTTTGCATGCATGTAATATTTATTTTTGTGAAATAAATATAGGAAATAATACAGTAGAACTTCATTTATTTTGATTAATTGATGCCACAACTGATCTCGATAATCTGATGATTAAGTAAATATAAGAATAAAGGTCACTTAGAAGTTAATGAAATTTGGTTAAGGTATGCAATTATATGTCCTCTTATACAACACTGTTAATGAATCAATATTCTAAATAATGAACTTAATCGNTAATTTTTTAATTAATAAATTAATCAGAAATTATTAATTAATTAATTGATTTGCAATTACATACTCCAATTAATTTGGAAAGTTTTTTGAAAAAAAAAATTTAAAAAAATTTGATGTAAAAATTTTTTTTTTTCAAATTAACCTAACAGGTTTTTCTGAAAAACTGCAGATACATAAATTTTTCAAAATTTATTTTAACAATAAATATGCATTATATAGTAGGTGAAAGTAATTAATTATCCAATTAATTACAAAGTAATTGGAGTATGAGACAATTACAATAACTAATAGTCTGCATTGAAGTAATAAAATACTGATTTTTCCATATATTGAATTACTTTTTTATCTCTCACAAGACCTTATATGGGCCGAAACGAATGTTGCCCCCTAAAATTATTCCTCATAAGGCATACATCCCACTAGTTTATTTCAAAATTGGAGAGTCACACTTCCTAGTTTCCCTTGTAAGTTCAATAGAACACATTTTACTAATAACATCAAAGAAAAATATTTAATAGTTGCTGGATGAATGTGAAAATTCTGTTACTGTTAATTATCCGTCAGAGAAAGTAGAATGTCTTCTTTGTCTGAAAGATTGAGAGGAATTCAATTTCCTCCATATTTATCCATGGAGAATTATATGAATATAGTTTTTTTTATTTATTTAGTTGTTGTTTTGGAATTTTCAGGGAAAATACTTGTTAACAAGTAGTGAATCACACATATATTTTTTAAAAAGGTTGTTAATATTTTAAATGCCCGTGTTCGTATTCTTTAAAAATAATCACTCAGATATTTATTGCTTAAAAATTTTTAATTTTAATAATGTATTTCTTAATATAAAGTTGTTAATCATAGAATTATGGATTTTATAATAAGTTTGTGATGATTTGATTTTGATGCACTTTAATTTATCAACTTTGTACTTAAGTAATTTTTATTTTATATGAACTGAAAGCACACGAAGAAATAATATAATACTTTATCAGTCAATATGTTATTTATAAATTAAAAGAGAAAAGTAAAATGTAATAGAAAAGGTTTTTTCTCCCCCTTTAAATCTGATGATTGATTAAGGGAAGTTGCACAAAAATATAATTGTCCATAGTTACAGTTATTCAATTAGTATTTATTTTAATTGAAGAGCCAAAAGTATTTTTCAAGTCAATTTGAGATTAAATATGAGAATAAATTTTAACCTTCTTAAACAAGATATTATTTTTTATTGATTTTTTTTAAAAGCAACAATAATACTTTTGAGTTTTTTTTCACATTAAAATTCTTTTATCAAGTGATGCTTGAAACTATATAAAATGAACGCTTTTATTAATGTGTTTTATCTGTTATTCAGGCTGGTATTACTACTGCCTATCAAGAAAAACCATGTTTACAACCATTAGATGAAGAATGCCCAGCTACTGCACCAAATAAAAGAAACCGCCAAGTTAGTATTTGACTCCACATTACTAATTTTCATGTCTAGGAGTCCATACAGCACACACTCGGGGCCCTAGGCCAGTCAAATTTTTGGGGCCCTTAGATTAAATTTTTTTCTCATATTTTTTATTTATTCAAATATAAAAGTATTTATATATCTTTTCATTTAAAAAAATCATTGTTTTTCTTAATTTCCAAATTTTTTTTTTTAAGGGGGCCCCTAATCTTTGGGGGCCCCAGGCCATGGGCCTAGTCTGGCCTAATGGGTAATCCGGCCCTGCACATATTAGAGAACTCTTTACCTGTATGCTAGATTGAAAGTTCATAATTTAAAAAGGAAATTAAAATGTTGAATAATCTCCTATTTAAAGTCCATACTTAACATGTTAATAAGCCAAAAGATCCGATTGAGATTTTGATTTATTACTGATAAATTTGTATACTAATTTCTCAGTTGAAATGAATAGTGTACAGGATATATTTATGGTCTTAATAAAAAGGATTGTTATTTTTTAGCCTTTGGACATTGGAGCTAAAATGACTGGTGGTTGCTATGGCTTTGCAACCAAATACATGCATTGGCCTGAAGATGTTCTTTTGGGTGGTATAACAAAAAATAAATCTGGTCATATTGTAAAGTATGTTAATTTCTGTACTATGTGATAAATTTCAGTTCATTTGTTTATTGATTTCTAATTATGATTTTTTAATACTTAGAGCTGAAGCTTTGCAAACAATTGTACAGTTGATGGCAGAAAAAGAAATGTTTGAGTATTGGCGAGATCATATAAAGGTACACAACTTGGATTGGTCTATAGATAAAGCAAAAAAAGTGATTGAAGCTTGGCAAAGAAAATTTAATGAGGTTTGTTGAGTTTTATAATTTTTTTTAAAAGAGATGCCATTATGTTTTGCATGCATGTAATATTAATTTTTGTGAAATAAATATGGGAAATAAATTTAGAAGAACTTCAATTATTTTAATTAATTGATGCCACTGATGATTATGTAAATATAAGAATAAAGGTCGCTTAGAAGCTAATGAAATTTGGTTAAAATATGCAATTATAGCCTCTTATATAATACTGTTAATGAATCAATATTCTAAATAATGAACTTAATCATTTTGGTTGAATTCCATAGCCCAATTATACACCTTTTTTTTACCATTTCTTTCTTTGAGAGATTTGGATAATTAGTGAACTGGCTCACTGAATGTTAGATGATTGGAGTTTGCAATATTTGTTAACTGCTTTTTTAGTTATTGCACTTTTAACAATATTGAAAATACTAAAGTGTCATAAATGTAGCAATTACTGAATCTTACTAATCAATAAATACATTCTTAAAGTTTTTTTTATCAACTTAATAAAATTTAGATAACCCACTTTATATTCTTGAATGATATGATTGAAGGCGGCTGTTGATCTATTTAACTTTTTACCTTTTCTAAATTAATGAACACCCATCATCTGTCACACTTCAGTGTAATGGAATATCCCATTCCATAAAAGTTTCTAAACTCTGTCTTGAACTTATCCCACATTGAGCAGTGAGTGTTAATGGAATATAAGCACTAGATTTATGTTTCAAAAAATTCTATTACCCACTGAAAACTGGATTTACATTCCAAGCCAATACAAAGTAAAAACATTTTACACACTATATATTTTAAACACATTTTAGATCTTATTTATTCTGTTAAGCATATTTCTTTTGAATATTCAAAGCAATTTTGTCGTTTTTAAGGTAACTTTTGAGTTTAAAAGCATAAATTGAGTTTAAAAATGTCATTGTTGACTTTATACATTACAATATTTTAGTTACATTAATGTTTTAGACTTTTTTTTCTGTACGTTTTTAAATATATACTTTATTTCGAAAATATTCTATGACTAAATAATATTGGGACACTTAAATGTTAATATTTTTTCTGTGTATTTCTCCAATCAAATTTGCACCATATCAATTTCAAATTCATATAAAATCAAATTTGCACCATAAAACGTTCAATCAATCGTCTAATTAGTAATTTCTTGTAAGTAAATAATTCAGGGAATTTTGTCTTTCTGTTTTAAAACTGGCATCTCTATTAGCTTAGTTTTTTAAGCATGGTTAGAATGGCTCTTAATTCTTTTTTAAATTTTATTCTCTTTGCTTTTCTTGATGTCAACTAAAAGTAAGTAAATTTATTAGTGTTTTTGTAAAATATTATTTATCTCATTTAAATTTTCCTATATTTATCAATATTTTTTTTTTAATTCTAGATTATAGCTAAAGAGTCTCGAGCAGCTAATGTAACAAAACGAAACTCTATAAACGTTTTCTCCACAACTTCCTTAGGTGATATCATGAAGGATTTTTCTACAATTAATACTTACTTTGTCTTGCTTGGCTATGTTGCAATGGTAATTGTTTTCATGTTGTTTACTTTTACATCCTTTTATTTGGTGTATAAATGAAACTTTTGTAAGTTATCCTTGTATTATGTGTTTTGGATGCAAACGCTGTTACTAATTTATATGCTTTTAGGTAACATGTTAGACAAGTTTCTATCTAATTCATAAAATGAATCTTTGCCTTCTTGCACGCACCCTTACAATTTGTGCAGGGAAAAGACACATTTGAGGATTTTCCCTGCTTTAATTTATGGGCAAAATTTATGTACTTTTAGGTTATCATTTAATTTGTTATGTTATATTTTATAAATGATATAGAGTTGCCCAGCATAAGTTGCAATTTTTATGTGTATATTTGCAAACACAATATGTGTATTGCAGGAATTTTTTAATTTCTGGTCTGCTTTTTTTTGGTGGAGATCTGCAATATTGATCAATTTTGATTGTTTACTTTATAAACTAAAGGCTTTTATATTTTTGCAGGTCATATACGTGATTATATGTATGTTTAGATATGATCCTGTTGACTCATCATTAGGGATTGGAGTGGCAGGTGTTCTTCTTGTGACATTCTCTGTTGCTGCTGGACTGGGTTGTTGCTCCATTTTCGGCATTGTTTACAATGCTGCCACAACTCAGGTTAGAAACCTCTTTATGTAAATGATTTTTTAAATAAGTTTTTTTTTTGTTGAAAAAGAAAACTTAAATATTTATGCTTGAAATAATGTAAAAATATGCTTGATATGTTATAAAAGCACATTTATTTAGAAAAAAGTGTTTTTTTTTGTTGCCAAATTGCATATCTTTGGTACTTAGCTTCAGAGAAAATTTAATTTATTTGCCATGGTAACATTTTATGTAACTGCATAAACTTTTTTAATTTTTAAGAATTTATAATTATTGTTACCTATATGTATTTTCCTTTCTTCATAATCTTAAATAGTTTACAATCTTATTTATTTAACAAAATAATAATTTTTTTAATTTTAGGTTTTACCATTTCTTGCGCTTGGGCTAGGAATGAATAATGTGTTTCTCATTGTTCATCAATATTTGTTGTGTGCTTCGCTAGAAGAATACCAGGTAAAAAAATTAAATTTGTTAATTAACTAGTAATTACAGATGTTTCAGTAACAGATGTCACATGTCATATTCCCATTAATGAGTTTATTTATTTATATTAGGAGCTTATTATTATCAAATTATGTTCTCATTGATAATTTTGATTTATTTTAATGAGTAGTTAAAAAAAAAGCAAACTGCAACTTTAATGCAACCGAACTTGCTAAAATTAAAAAATAAAATTTTTGCTTGTTTGTTTCCAGGATCAACTAACAGGAGAGATTTTGAGGAGGACTGGAGTGAATATGGCGCTAACATCTGTCAGTGTTATAGGTGCTTTTACTGTTGCTTACATTATACCAATACCTGCATTAAGAAGTTTTGTTTTGCAAGCTGGTGTACTGATAGCTTTCAGTACTGTCACTATTTTGATAATTTTTTCTGCAATCATCAGTATTGATTTTAAAAGAAGAACAAGCTATAGAATGGATGTTTTCTGTTGCATTGATTTGTAAGTCATTTTATTTTTATTGTTTCTATAAATGACTGAACGTTTGCAATTCCCTTTGCATGTACTTTTTCTAACTTTTTGTGTTTTATTTTGTGAGGACAGGAAATGTGTATTGAGAAGAAATATATTTTGCAAGTTACTCAAAAAGCAGAAATTTGATCGGTTAATACATGTCTAATTTATATTTTTGAGTGAATGTTAATTTCAATGGCTTTTGCATGGAGATATATTCTGTATATTTAAAATCAAATTAAAAAATTTAACTTCGAATAATTTTTGTTTGTTTGAATAATTAAATTGATATATCTATTTTACATGCTGGAAGACAAACCTAGTTAACAAAAGAATCTCTGATACTAGTTAATAGAAAATTTATTCTTTAATTTAAAGAATTTTCTAGTTTGAATTCCTTTTTTTATTAAAAATTATGAGAAAACATTATGATTATTTAAGGTTTTTTCATTCTTCTGATTTTAATATATTGACAGATATATTTTATCTAAAATTCTAATTATATTTTTTGAAAAGATGTGTGCCAATATTTTTAAAATTATTTTCTCAGTTAGAGAAGTGTTACTTTGATTTTCTTTGTTGCTGAAAAATTCATTTTGTTATAGCAGCAAATCACACTCAGAAAATGTTGAAAATCATTATCAACCACTAAGGGCTTCCCCTTCTAGCTCTTCTGTAGTTCTACGTCAAGCTGTTACCCATGCTCTTCCACCTGATGGCAGTCACGTAATTACTGTGTTAGCCCCCTCGGGTGGTCGACAAACAAATCAATCTTCTCAACAAACAGGTAATGCATTATTTCCTTTTGTATCAATAAAGAGCATTCAAATGCAATTATAATCCATAATTTATTTGTAGTTTTTTTTAGGTATTTTGAACTGAAGTAAGAATGTTGGGGAAAATAAGTTTTTAATATATGAATAATTATTGAAAACTTATTTTTATTGATATATGCATTAAAATATTTTCGATTGAGGAGCTTAACTTTTATTTTATGAAAAAAAAATATGCATATATGGTCTTAGGAGTTATTTTCTGGAGAAATTTGGATCTGTTAACTGAAAGCATTACAAATTTTTGTTAAATCAGATGCTTCGCAATATATTCTATACTTAAAACACACAATATTTCATGGATTCTTTACAAAACTATCTTTAAAACATTGTCAATGTAACAGTTTTTAATTCATTATTCTTTAAACATAGGCTGGCATAAACTTCAATTCATTATTTTACTGCTTGAAAGATATGATTTTTGTATTTCTCTCTCACAAAAACAAGACCCTGTCAGAAATAAATAAATTCTATGGCAATTTTTAATTTTGAAAATTGAAGTTAGATTTTTTCCAAAGATTACGAAAACAGGGCTCTTTCTAAAAGACTAGAATAACTTCTAGGCATAATTCTCTATTCTCCAACAAGTTTTAGTTCTTATAATCTATTTAATATGTTGGATTTTATTTTAAATTTATGTCTTGAAATTGGTTCTATATGTGCATTAATTTTCTTATAGGGACTTCAACTGAGTCCAACAATAAACTTGAAAATTTGCAAACAGAAGAAAACATTGCTGATATAAATTATACTGAAGTCTGTTACACCTGGTCATTGTTGACATGGTTTGCTAATCGGATTTTGGCTCCATTTCTACTTCAACCTCTCGTAAAAGTAATTGAATTTTTTATTTTAGCTCATTGAAGTGAAGTGGTTTAATTTTAATTTCTTGTAGTTGTTTTTTATGCTTCATATTACATTTCAGCAAAATAATTAGTTGCTTATTTTTGCTTAGTAAGCAACTGTTGTTTAATTGCTTACTTTTTATTTAATTCTAGTGAACATTTTTTTTTTTTGCCTTTCTTTAGATGCTTTTAAATTCAATCTCTTGTAATCAGTTTTAGTTTCTCAATTTCTTTACCAAAATCGAATCACTCTAAATATGCTTTTGATTTATCTTTTTGTCACAAATGAACTGATAGTCGATATTTATTCTGTTCATCAGCATCTTTTGATACATTTAAAATTAGAGGCCATCATTTTTGAGAATCAGAATTTTAAATTTAAAGCTTTTGGTTTTTTTTCTTCAGATTTTCGATTAAATTTTTAACAAAATTACCAATATAATTCTGTAATCAGCAGTTTGTGAAAAATATTCAAATAGTTACTATATATATATGTAATATTATTTTTTTTTGGATTTTTAAATAATATTGTTTTTGTGGTATTAGTGTTAAAAGGATCAGTTCAAACTGTAATAAAATTAAATTTTAAAAATCATTAACAAATGTATAGTTGGAAATTACTTATTCTAAACCACAAATTGCATAACTTTATTGCTGTTATGTTTTGAGTAAATATTCATAGAGGTTCTCAAAAATTATTAAATGCTGTTGTTGTTACTTATTCCACTTGGGCTAGACCAAGTTCAGAAGACCGTTCACCGACAGAAGACATGAGGTGTAGCCTGGTGCACATTAAATTTAAGGCATACAGGGAAAGTCTTTTGACCCTGAACAAATGTTAGTCTGCGGGTATGACCACTGATTAGTCTTGTGATAGCTGTTTCTCCTAATCTAAAAAAATAATCTATTTATTTTCTGTCTTTTTTAATGGTATTGTGCTGCTGAATAATGCTATTTCATCAAAAGTTGAACAAAAAATATATATATAAAAAAAATGAAAGGCAAAAATTTACTTAAAATCCAAGATATTGAGGGTAGAGAACTCTTATTGGACTAAGAAAATTTTTTATTGCATTTTATTTTTTTTATCTTGAGTTTTTTTTCTTTGAAAAATTGGATTTTATAAAAAATTCCTATACTTTTTTTATTTCTATATTCAGTGTTTTATAGTTTATTTCAGTGTTAGATATAGTTTATTTCACTGAATATGTTTATTTCAGTGTTTTTATGTTTCATCAAAATTTTAATGATTTTTTTTAATATTTTCAATCCCTTTAGTTGCATTTGTTTCTATAGAAATTTCTTATTTTATTCTATGTAGTTCCTCATAGTTGTTTTTGGTATTGGTCTTATTTGTGCTGGAATGTGGGGAATCATGCAAGTGAAAGATGGCTTGGATTTGACTGACATTGTTCCCAGGAATACAAACGAATACCAATTTCTCAACCAGAGAGCAAAATATTTTGGCTTCTTCAATATGTTTGTTGTAACCCAAGGCAGTTTTGAATATCCTACAAATCAGCAACTACTGTATGACTATCACGAAGCATTTACGAGGGTGGAGAAAATTATTAAAAATGATAATGGTGGACTGCCTGAGTTTTGGCTGACAATGTTTAGAGACTGGTTGATAGGTATGTTAATTTGTTATTGTAGTGTAATTCTCTAAATATATCAAGATTTTTTGTAGTAATTTATTTTTAATAAAGCTTCACTATTTAAAATAGTACTATAAGCACTAATTAAAATACAGCTTTGAAATTGAATGTCTTATTCATTGTCAGACATTATGATGTACTATCTAGGAGCTACTTTGAAGACACTCTTTTATGTTTTGAATCACAATGAAATATGAATATTCTTCCCTAAGGATAGATAATTTTTTCCAGCAGAGTAAAATGTCTTCTAAAGACCCTATCCTTATTGACCATTATTCCCTGCCTTTTAAACAAGAAATTGATCATAAAATTTCAGCCATATGTATAAATTTCAATTACAAACATATTTGCACTTTTGCTACTTTTTTGAATCTAGAGCAGAAGAAAAAAAATTAAATTTAAATTTTTCTTACATTTAAAGTATGTATGTTTCTAATGGCATGTTTGTAGACAATAGAATGGAATTATATACCAACCATTAATGAGAAGAATAAAATAGATATCAGTATATCTATGTACCTAGCCATGCAGTAACACTCTCCAACCAGAATGCAAGAGAGAGCAGGTACATATTAAGATTACATTTGCAACAAATAAAATCTGTAGTAATGTTTAAAGTGCTTACAAATGTAATTGTGCATAAACTATAGTGTAAAGATTTTATTATTAATTGATCTTATTGTTTTTCTGTTTTTAAAGCAAGCATGCCAAATAGGTTTTGTCATTTTAATTCTTTGACTAAAATTTTAAAATTATTACTCAATTACAATGTTTTGTGTTCTCTATATGATGTAGAGGTTTGACTGTATGTGTCTTGCACCAGTTAATTTCATTATGAATTTTTTCTGCTAAATGTTTGTACTACATTGAAAAGTTTGAAATGAATGAGTTTTTCTTTTGTTTTTAAAACTTTTTTTTTTGTAAGTTATTTTTACTTTTTGAAATATTCAGTTTTTAATCAAAACATTATGTGGAATAACATTACCAATTGAAATTGTGATACTTTTGTGTAATAAGTAGAACATGTTTCAGTCATTAAAAATTGGAAATGCAAAGTTTTTTTAGTGCAAACTTTGGTGCAGTTGAATTATTTATCTGGTGCTTTGAGTAGAATATATGGAAATTTTAATCCAGTCATCATCATCTTTATTTTTTTAAAAGAAGAATATAATTTTTGTAAATTAAAATATTAAGAATCTCTTTTGTTTTGTTTTGTATGTAGGTTTACAAAAAGCATTTGATGAAGAATGGAAGAAAGGGTGCATTACTCAAGAGAATTGGTGTTCTAATGCGACTGATGATTCTATAATGGCTTATAAATTGCTTGTGCAGACTGGTCGAATAGATAATCCTGTTGATAAGTCTCTTGTGAGTACTTTTTATTATTTTAACTCTATAGAAATTTTTTTCTGAGTCGAATATATTTCAACTGAATCAAAATTGTATATTATACATTAGATATTGTTTTTTTTCATAAATTTTGGAGAAAAAAAATTGTGAAAAGTGATGGGTAGTGAAAAGTTTGGTATATGCCTTGCTGCTTTAATGATAAATTTAAAATTAGAATATTAATATCTTTTCAACTTAAGTCATTTTAATTTAATCAACCGGAAGAGCAATTATGAAGCTTTGAGATTTTTTCCAGAAGTTTTACTTACAATGCTGCCAGAAATCATGTTGCCCCCTTTTAGATAAATAAAGGGGATTTGGGATTATCTAACAGTAATTATTGTCTCAAAATATATTAGAAAAAGAATTTCCTCAGCTTGAGGAATCTTTCCAGAGGAGATTCTCATGTTTATCTCCTTGGCTCAAGGACAATCTTATGTTTGCCCCATGCATACAAGGTCGACATAATTATGTAATATATAATTATGTCTTAATTATATTTGAACATGAAAAGTTGAAGTTTCTGTAATGTTTGTCAACAATGTCTTATAGTGACATGCGTCTTACAGTGACATAATTTAAGTTTGATGTAAAATACTTTTTTATGACGGGTACTTTTCTTCTAAGTATACTAAGTTAGTATGTAATATATTTAGAGTGTGTCATTATGTTATTTTTAAATAACCTTCCAAAATTGGCAATATTTCTTATTAATGTCGTAAAGACATCAATATTAATAAAATCTTAATTTTTATTAATAAATTAAAATGCAACAATGTACTGGTTTCATAAAAATTCACCTGAATTTTATATATTTTAGTAAATTCCCTAAAATTGAGAACATTTCCTTAAAAAATCCCTATTGAAGTAGAATTTTTGTGCAGATTATTGCTTGCTTGAATATTTATGTAAGTGTCTCTGATACTTAAGAAAGTGAGGCTCATTTATAAAATTCAGTTTACTATCTTTGATGAATTAAATGCCTATTACTATGGTAACAAGTTATTTCAGTTATGTTAAATGACTTATTCTTCTAACAATATGTAATATTTTCTAATTTTTATTTTAGGTTAAAACAATGAGGCTCGTAGACAGCAGTGGTATTATTAATCCCAAAGCATTTTATAACTACCTCTCTGCTTGGGTGTCTAATGATGCATTGGCATATTCTGCTTCTCAGGCTAATTTTGTGCCAGAGCCTCGTCGCTGGACACACGATCCTCAAGATGTTGAGCTAAAGATGCCCAAATCTCAGCCACTTGTTTATGCCCAAATGCCTTTTTTTCTCAGTGGTTTAGGGACTACTGAAGAAATAACAGAAACCATTCGTGATGTAAGGACTATATGTGAGAAGTTTGAAGATAAAGGTCTCCCTAACTTTCCTACAGGATTACCATTTGTGTACTGGGAGCAGTATCTATCCCTCAGATACTACTTAGGGCTTGCCATGCTCTGCATCTTTTTGGCTATTTTCTTTGTCATTGCTGTTGCTCTTTTCAATCTTTGGGCTGCTGCATTTGTTGTAAGTCTGGTTATTTGATTACTATTTTAAAAATATGTATAACTAGATTTCAACACATCAAAACTTTGAATTAAAAAACTAAACAAAAACAGGTTATTTAACCTAGCTATCTGTTAAATCAACACGACCAGGGGTCTGTTTAGAAGAAATTTGGGTCCGTTAACGGACCCTTCACAAAATATCTTTTCATAAAAACGGACCCTTCACAAAATATTTTAACTTAAAAACGGACCCATCACAAAATGATTTTTCTCTTAATCGGACCCTTCACAAATTTGTTTATCTTCATTATTTTGTTAATCGAATAAACCCTTCTCAGGGCAGAAAACAAGAAAGATGGATGTAAACGAATTAAGTTTTGTCTTCGGCAGACGATTCTTCCATTATTCGTCCGAAATTAATATTCTGCGTTCAGCAGTACAGGCTAAATACCAAATATTTGTATGTTGCATCTCTAATTTAGAAGCAGCAATTGTTTTATATTTTTTAAAATTTAATTTTTTCAATTATAATTTTACAGTGTTGAGCATAATCTTGTATGTCTTTACAATTTAAAAACTCCTTGAAAAAAAATTTTTTTTTTGCAATAACGGACCCTATTTGCACAAATTCATAAAAGCGAACCCTGGTTGAAAGAATGTGAGTAATTTTTTCACAATTTCACGAAAAACGGACCCCTCACAAGATGTCTGGACAGACCCCTGACGACTAATCATTTTCATAGTTTTTCTTCTTAAAATTATGCATATTATGACTGAAAATTCTTTTAAGACCATTCTCTGTTTTCTGTGTTTGTTTAAAAATATTGAATAATTTCCTCATTTATTTACTGTTTGTATGAAAATTTTATTTGGAAGTCGGAACAGTTTCACGTATGCAATTTTTTCGTAGTCAGTTATGTCCATATTTAACTATTTTCATAAATATACTTTTCCATAAATTTTTTATTTCAACCCTGCTTTTCATAATTATTTTACATCTTTTTTTTAGTCCTTTTATTTCGTTAATCTTTTCATAAACATATATTTTAGCTTAAAGGAGAGGACTTTTTTTTTGTAACCAATAAAAATTGATTTAAATTAGTTGTAAATAGTATATTATTATACTTTTAAGAACTGGATTGATAAATGTTTGCTTTCTATGGCCAAATGATTTTATGAATTTTTGTCATCAGTTTTGTTGTAGATGCTATAAAATTTAATTAGAAACAAGGTTGCAAGCATCATTGTACTTGTAACTGGGACATGATTTTGCTTTTTAGTCTTATTACTAAGTTAGAATTGGATTTTTGGCAAATTTATGTAATGTAGTAAAATTAGTTTTGTATGAAATTTTTAAACTTGAAAAAAATGCAATTAAACGCTTTTAAAAGAAATTCCCACTTATTCAGCCAGGGTACTTAGGCAAATGACTACAGTAGCCACATCAGTTTTTTGAGTGAATAAACCAAGTTTTTACCTTCCAACAGGGCTTAGTGCTAAGTATTATTGGTGCAAAGCTTTCATTCATATACTTAAATGTTTAAAATTTATATACATATGATTTTATTTTTAGAGATATTTGATATTGTAGAGTCATACTAATAAGAAAAAAAAATGTGAAATTTCAAATGTCATTAAAATTGTCTCAGTTTAACAGAAATTACTAATATTGAACTAATTTCTTAATTATAGGTAATCTTCATTGCTGTGATAATTGTTGAATTGTTTGGATTTATGGGTTTAACGGGTATCAAATTAAGTGCAGTGCCAGCAGTTATTCTGATTGCTGCAGTTGGTCTTGGAGTAGAATTCACAGTTCATTTAATCATGGTGAGTTATTACAAGTTGGCAAAACCCAGCCCATGTAACCCAGTAATGGTTCTTGGTTAAATGTAAAACATATTAATATGTGATTTAGTTTAAAATTAAAAACATGAATTCATAAAATGGTATGTTCAATTTAAATTTTTTCAATTTTTTGAATTCTTTGTCTTACAATGTATAAAAAAATCAACTTTTGCTTTTTTTATATTTTTTGTTTTTGAAATAAATGAAAAGAGATAATAAATTTATATTCTAAACATTCCTAGTATATAATCTAAAATTTTACTGATATGCAGAAGTACTCATTAAATTAAAATAATAATTATTAATGAACAACCATTTCATGAACAACTAATATCTACAATATGCATTTATATTCCATTATTAAATTCATTTTATGTTCATTGTGTAAATAATCATTCTTTTGTAATCAACAAAATTTTTACCAAATAAAATATTAGTAAGCAAAACAAGATTAAAAAATATTTAAACAAAATAGTTTTTTGGTACTCAATAAAACGAAAATTATAAACTTACTATCAAGTATCATGACAGTTTTGTTAAAATAAAAATTTGAAATATCAGATCTTTGTTTCTTTTTATTGAGAAATAAGCTGAACAAAGTTTTTTTTGCCCAGCCATTTTAATCATAACTAATCAAAAATTAGACAGCTGTCATAAGAGAAACAGTGCTACATCAAGAGCCACCACTCTGACATTAAATTTTTTTTATTTTTTATATCTTAACAGTTATTCACTACAATATTTTATGAATTTTAAATATTATGTAAAATTACTTTATTATGTATTTTATGTAATTTAGTGATTATATCAGTTCAAACAACATTTTAAAGTATTCCAAGTGTAATGGGTTAAATTTTTATCAAACAATAAGTTGATAATTTTAAAATACAATTTTGTTTATTTGACTGGAAATAATAAAATGTGAAAAACCCACTTTGTATAAAGATGGTTTTTTTTGAGTGGGCCTAATCTGGAAAACCCCACTGGGTTTTTCTGGGCTGGGTTCACTCTGGCAAACCCTAATTGTTGCTATAGTATGAATTTTTTTTATGATAGCTTGTTTTATGTGAGCAGCATATTCTATCGAAGTTCTTTGTTAATTTTTGTTTTATATTTTAGAGTTTCATCACAAGTATTGGAAATCGTGAAGAAAGAATGGGAATGGCCTTAGAATACATATTTTCTCCTGTTGTTCATGGAGCGCTTTCTACTCTTATTGGAGTTATAATGCTTTCCTTCTCAGAATTCGATTTCATCTTCCGGTTAGTATATCTGCCGATTTCACAGTGCTTTGCCATACAAGGTTTTTTTTCATGTAAAAAANACATGTTAAGCAGATTGTCTCTCATTAAATTAAAATAATAATTATTAATGAACAACCATTTCATGGGCAACTAATATCTACAATATGCATTCATATTCCATTAATAAGTAAATTCATTCTATGTTCATTGCGTAAATAATCCTTCTTTTGTAATTTACAAAATTTTTACCAAATAAAATATTAGCAAGCAAAACAAGATTGAAAAATATTTAAACAATAATTTTTTGGTACTCAATAAAATGAAAATTATAAACTTAATATCAAGTAGCATGACAGTTTTGTTAAAATAAAAATTTGAAATATCAGAACTTATTTCCTTTTTATTGAGAAATAAGCTGAACATTTTGCCAAGCCATTTTAATCATATCTAATCGAAAAATTATTCTTTTTAGTCCAGCGGTCATAAGAGAAACAGTGTATATATGTCTCTCTCTCTCTCTCTCTCTCTCTCTCTATATATATATATATATATATACATATATATGAGCAATCTGATGCTACATCAAAAGCCGCCACTCTGACATTAAAATTTTTTATTTTTTATATTTTAACAGTTATTCACTACAATATTTTATGAATTTTAAGTATTATGTAAAATTACTTTATTGTGTATTTTATGTAATTTAGTGATTATATCAGTTCAAACAACATTTTAAAGTATTCCAAGTGTAATGGGTTAAATTTTTATCAAACAATAAGTTGATAATTTTAAAATACAATTTTGTTTATTTGACTGGAAATAATAAAATGTGAAAAACCCACTTTGTATAAAGATGGTTTTTTTTGAGTGGGCCTAATCTGGAAAACCCCACTGGGTTTTTCTGGGCTGGGTTCACTCTGGCAAACCCTAATTGTTGCTATAGTATGAATTTTTTTTATGATAGCTTGTTTTATGTGAGCAGCATATTCTATCGAAGTTCTTTGTTAATTTTTGTTTTATATTTTAGAGTTTCATCACAAGTATTGGAAATCGTGAAGAAAGAATGGGAATGGCTTTAGAATACATATTTTCTCCTGTTGTTCATGGAGCGCTTTCTACTCTTATTGGAGTTATAATGCTTTCCTTCTCAGAATTCGATTTCATCTTCCGGTTAGTATATCTGCTGATTTCATTGTGCTTTGCCATATAAACTCCCAAATACAGACTAAATCATTTAAATACTAAGGAATAAAATTGGGAAACTGTATAGAATTTTTTTAAAATTGAATTTATGTGATGTTGTACCAGGTTTTTTTCATGTAAAAAAATAAGACTTTTGCTATAAATCATTCAACTGCCTTTTTTTAAATTTCAATGGGCGTATATTTGAAATGTTAATTTTGTTTTGTTGTGTATTAAAAATCTACATGTTTTATTTTCAGGTATTTTTTTACAGTGTTATGTGCCTTGATGCTAATTAGCATGTTCAATGGTTTTGCATTTTTTCCTGTATTGCTCAGTCTAATTGGTCCTTCTGCTGAGGTAAGATATTCTATTGTAAAAGTAATAAACATAGTCATAACTGTTATTTATTTTTTGATTTCAAAATGAAGTTAAAATACAATAGTAAGCCTGTTTTTTTTTTATTTTTATAAATGTATTTTAGTTTTCTTTTTTTATGATTTTATTTTCTTTCTTGGTGATATTTTGATAAAATCATAGGGGTCAAATTTTTAAAAAACTTTTTTTAAAAAGTTTATTTTTTTCAAATTTTAATTTTTCTATTTTTCTAGGTAATACCATCAGATAACTCAAATAGGCTTCAGACTCCTTCACCTGAACCATCTCCTCCAATTAGACAACGTGTGCGGTTAGCACGCCCTTTCCATCGCCGTGTTTATCCCAGAGTGCCCTCTGAAATATCCTTATCAACAATCACAGAAGAGTCCGGTTCTTGCCATTCTGCAGAGATTATCGTGCAGCCAGAAGTAACAGTTGAGACTACTACAGTTACAAATACAAGCAATGGCACTACGACAGTCAATACAACAACAAATACTGATGTATGTTTTATTTCTATAAATTTCAATCTTCTGTTGATATTCTTAAAATGTTTCATTTTTATGATTAGTAGCTTTTTTTATGAAATCCTCACAAAACAAAACTTTAATAAATCAGAAACACCTCTGTTAGACCTCTGATAAGTAAATTTGATATCTTTTTTTTATTTTTATTCTGTCTTTTTATCCCTCTTACAAAATTTGTAAGAATGAGACTGAAACTTTTTTTTCGTTTCTCGAAATTCTTATTTTGACTAATTTCTCCTATGTTACCAGTATTAAAAAAAGATATTTCTTATGAAGACGATGCTGTCAAAATTGGGGACAAGAATCGTCTGTACATTTTGACTACACATTTATTTGCTAGTTTAGAAATCTCGAAAAAAGCGGATCATTAAATCTGATGAACTTTGATGGTCTGATTTTGGAAAATCAGGATTCTATTATAATTTATCTTCTTTTATAATTATTTGTAGATCATGAACTGTTGCTGGTAGAACTTAATTGTGTTTTATTTGAAAAAATAAAACAATTTTTTGTTATTTAATAGAAAAGCACAGCTTGTTCATGAAATTTTCTTCAAAAATTTTTTTATATTCTAGGGGAAATTTTTTTTCTTGAAAATTTTTCTTCTCATTATTAACTAAACTTTATTTTTAATGTTTTTAATAAAAACTTATTTTTTTACTTTGAATTTCTTAGCTTTATTTTTAAAAAAATTGTATATTTAATTATTTACTTTGATTATGTTTAGAATAACACTGACAGTCAGTCAGATGACAGCTCAAAGTGCAACTCACCTAGTGATTTTAAATGCAATTCACCTTCTGGGGAAAGCACAACAACCACTACATCTACTACAAACCCTAATTCTGGTACCACTCAAACTGCAGTAACTACCAGAGTTACAGCAACAGCTAAAGTTAAAGTTGAAGTGCATGCTCCTTTATCAAGTAAGTATTCTTAGGTTTGACTAACAAATAAATGACTAACTATACACATGTATACAAAATAGGCAATAATAGGCAAAATAGGCAATATAGGCAATGGCAATGTGTGGCAACAAAATAGACAATGTGTACATTTCTAGGATTTTTTTTTTGAGAAACACTTTTTTGTTAACTATTTTACTTGTTATTAAATTTGATCTTAACTTTATATTAGGGGTGCACAACCCATTTGAGTGAAGGGCCACATGTTAAGCAGATTGTCTAATGAAGGCATGCCAAAGTATTTAGACAGACATATTGAAGCAATTGTAGGTAGTAATTGTTATATAAACATCATTGTTCTAGGCACTAAATTCTTTTTTACAGTTAATTTTGTAATGTCTGCATAAAATTAAATACTTTTAAAATTTAAAAAAAGCAACAAAAAAAAAATCAATTTATCAGAAGGAAATTTAGATACATTTAAATAACTAAAAACTAAGAAAAAGTTCATGTTTTTTTAAATCATATTACATAATCATATTAACTTGGGTTTCAGCTTTTGTGATACATATTTTCATTTATTTTTAATAGAAAATTTTAAAATAGTTTTAAAAAAAGAATTATGAAATAACTTATTACATTGATTAAAATAATGTGTGAAATAATTCTCAAAACTTTCGTACCACAGAAATTGTTTATCTATTGAATTTCGATATATTAAGAAATTATGAAGTGTACTGTTTATTATGAATAATATTCTTAATAAGGGATCTTCTTCTAGGTTCAATTGATTATTCCAGATATAGGAGAAGGCGTGATAGTTCCTCATCCAGAAGCTCAAGTGCACGCAGTTCTCCTACTTGAATGTAAAATGATCTTTCTTCCCGGTTAGTATAATTGTGATAATTATTAATATGTACTCAAATATTATACTTCAAATATTTTATTTTTCTTTCACGTAAAGCTAATTATTTTTTTAAAAAAAGATTTTATTCTATGTGTATAATTATACTATCAGTTCTAACAAAGTAAGGAAAATTGTAAAAATGAAAGTAGTACATATATACATACATATATAAATCATAATTTGGTCTTATGCAGTTAAATTTTGAGTTTTTATGCCAATCGGTGTATAAAGCAGAAAAATTTGTGATAACAAGGTTTTTCTTAAAAAAATCTTAAGAGGCCTTAAAAAAAGATCATAGCCTCGAAATAATAACTTTTTAATTTAATGCAAAATTAATTAATAATGAATGCATGGGGTAATTATTTACAAAATAAAATTGATTTTTCTAAAGCAATTTGATAGTTAATATTACTATTAATGCAGTATATATGTTTATTTGTTTAGCATCCTTTTTGTATGACTTTTAAAAAATTTTTAATTTTGATTTTTTTTTAAAATTTAGTTTTTCATTTATGTTATTAATCTGTACTTGAAGTTACGTCATTCGAACATCATCCTTTTTTGTTAAATGTATTTTTAAAAACTTGATAAGTTTTTTTAAAAAAAATATCCCTCTTTTTATGGTTGGAACATGATTTTTATGAACCTGATTACTTTAAAATTTTATTCTTTAGGTATTTTTTATATTAGTTTTGTTTTGCAAAAAGTAATTATATCTTTAGTGACGGGCGAAAGTGCTTCATGAATTACTTTCTTTTTTAATAATTATTAATACATTATGTTCTCTTTATACTGAAAAGTGTCCTAATTAGTATTAAAACAAAGCATTCTTTTTTAGGTTTTATCATTCCAAAGAATCAAGATTATTATGAATTCAGCTTTAGGTTGCATTTTTGGAGCAAGGGGTAGTGGCGAGGGATGCAAAACGGAAAGGTTGAAGCAGAAAGCGTTGAATACTTCAGAATCAAGAATTGTGTTGGAAGTGATGAGAAGAAGAGGAAAAATCAAATAATACAACTCAATCAAGAAATGACATGCCGAGATAGGTGAACATTTATACTGATTGTAATGCAACTCTGGTGATTTTGTGTATTAGGTTGATTTGGCATCCATTTGTTGAACTGAAACACAATGGTTGTTGTCTTGTTCATGTTTAAAATCAAAAGGCGCTAGTCTGTATATAACATATAAAGTTTTATATTTTGTTGTACTAACAAAAAAGTGATGGAAATTTTATTTATTTTATTTTGTCAAGTCAACCTCTTACAATGTTTTCTGCCAAACAGACATTGCCAGCGATGTTGAGCTCAAGCAGATTTCCAGGGATATAAAAAGTTACTACAATTGTTCCTTATTACATACCTTTTTAATTTATTTGAGTGATTGTTTAGTATGCCTGAGTGAATGCGTGATCTTGTGTTACTTTTAAGCTGTAAGTCATTATTATTTTTTTTTTAATGAAAGAATTTTTTATCTGATTCCAATGGGGTCATTTCTGTAACAATACCTCTAAAATAAAACATGCATCGATATATATTTTTTAAAAAAAAATTACATGCATTAAATAAAATAAAATTTTTCCAACATTTAAAAAAATCGGAAGATTGTACAATACTAAAATCTAAGATGGATGAAGAATAAATATTATGTTTTTGTTGTCTTTAATAGTAAGAAGGGTATTATGAAATGTTGCAATTTGGGCAATCGTATCAGTGGGTTACTAAAAAAGGGTCAAGTAGTTACTAAAAAAACAATTACATACCTGCCAACTTTTACGCATTTGGCGTAAAATTTTATTTTCATATTTAAAGTGGTAGTAAATATATACCGTTTTTTTATTCATAAAATTAATTTTTAAATGATTTTGATCACCACTATTCTTAAAAAATTTAAGCATATATATTAATCTGTGTTACTATCATGATTTACAGCATAAGCTTTTTCAAATACAACATATTTTTTTGCTTAAAATTGAAATTTTAACTCCATTTTAATACCACTGGGAAAAACCATAAAGGAAGGGATTAAAAGTTGGCAGGTATGCAATTATAACGACTTGGTTTGTTGTATATCCTGTTTAGTAAGTTTTTTATTTGTGTTATTCATTTTATTATGTTTCATTATTCTGTATTTTCATCAACAACATTCCAGCATACATATTAATAGTTCTTTTATCATGCATGATTAAAATATTTCTTTTCTATAAATGTTTTTTCAATTTAATATTATGCCATCTATGTAAAAGTGAGTAACTTGAGGGGTTCAAAGCGCTTCTTTAAAACCAATATATCTTTTGTTGGAAGTAAATAAAAATGTCAAAGCTGTGACCACATTGTTATACCATTAGTCAAGTAATTAACATCCACGACCCCCTGCCCCTGAATGGTCATTAGTGATAATATTCTATATTTATATAAACCGTACTACATGAAAATGTAGTTAATAGATAATCAGACAATTTATATATGTACTATTTATTAAAATGAAATTTGTTCAAGTGATAATTTAACCCATTGGAATTGGAAGTGTTTTTTTTTCCTTTTAAATATATATATATATATATTTTAATTAAACACTAAAATGAGGTAGAATCTCATATAATTCAGGGACTTGTGTTAAGTGTGTTCTTAAGTGTTAAGTATGACAGTTAAAAAGGATTTTCGTGCTCATTTAAATGTGTGTATTTTATTATCAATTTGTTTTATTTTAATATACAAAAGAAAAGTAGATGTTGTTGTTCATCACATTGTTTTATTCAAAGTTAGGTATGAAGGATACCCTGTAAAAATGTTAAAATCAAGAATCCGGAAATGTTTTATAAATTTGTATTTACAAAAATTGTCGCAAATGTGATTTTATTTGTATTTAATATAAGAGCTATAAATTAAAATTTTATATTTTTTATTATTATGTAGTCTGTTTTATTAACTCTTTAAAAATGACATTACATTGTGTAAAAACCACATGATTTGTAATAGCCAGAGTAAATTATATATTATTATTATATAAATATATATATATTTTTTTAAGAGTTGAATCTGTTGAGTTATCATATCTATAATAATTATTTCTTTTACTTGAAAAAATTCTGAAAATCAACCATAACACTAACAAAAAAATCCGATATATCATTTAAATTATGTTTCATATAGAAAAAGTTTCTTTCATTTGGCTGAAACTTCTTTTTTATTTTTAGATAGTTTTTACTACTGCAGTAATCATTTACCAATTTTGTTTTTAAATTTATTACTTTTAAGTTAATAGTTCTATTAGTTTTGGATAGCAGTTATTAGTACAATGTTTTTAACACTTTGAGGTTTTTGTATTGTTTTTGAAATAATTAGTTATTTTTTGTAACCTTTGGGAAATTAAAAAGTAAATGAAGAAAAAAAATGTCAAATAAAATTTTTTTATTTTACGGAAAATTTATGCAGGAAATTTATATGTGATATAGTCAAGGCTGTATTCAAGGGGGGAGGACAATTGTCCTGGATTCCAGAACTACTGACGGCCTGACTAAAATCGCTTTCAAAAAATTTAGTATCTATTCATAAGATTTTTTTTTCTTTTTTAAGAAGAAAATTTCAGAGAATTTCTTTATGTCAAAAAACTAAAATTTTGTATGAAAGATCTTCGAAAATTATAAAAATTATGAATTTTTTTTTTTGCTTAGAGTAGGGGGTCATAAAACCTGCGTACAACCTTGGAGGAGGAAAGTAAATAAATTTTTGCTCAACATTACATTTATAAAAAATTTTTGCTCAACATTACATTTATTTACTGGAATTACAAATATTTATAGTTTTGATTTAATTATGCTTGTAATGTATGAACTGCTTAGAAAAATCATTGTCTGAATTTATATTATTAAATAATTAAACATAGTTTGTGTGTACAGTGCACAAAAGAAAAAAAAAAATAGGACCACACAGAATAACTTTTGATCTAATAATTGGATCTTCATGATCTAGGACTCAATCATAGTGCTTCGAGGTGATCTCAAATTAATAAGTGCAGACAATATTTTAAGTTGCGAAATCAGAATAAACATTCCACGACGGATTAAGATTTATGACTTCCAAAGTATGGTCCCAATAGCTTGGACCCCTTAATGTTAATTTTACTTTTTGCTTATTACGCTATATTTTGAGAATTTAGCAAATTAAATTTGTTTGGATGCAATTATAAAATTTCTTCACCCAAAGATAATTCCATGCAGAAATGAAATTTTAGTAAATATTTACTCTTTTATTTAATAATAGTCAAAAGAATTTTGAATTGTAAGGTATATAATTTTTAACCTCATTTTAAAGCGTAATTTTGCATGGCAAATTACAAAATTTGAGCGAAATCGGTTGAGAAATCGATTTTTTAAAAAGTTGTATTAATATTTGTATTCAACAAAGTCTTGAATTATGATATGCAAAACAATTTCTCAATGATAAAATTGTGGCAGAATTAAAAGATGTGTAATAACATGTACTTCATAGTCATATTTAATTTTTAATTGATGAATTGTTTCTTAGAAGTTATTAAACTTAGCTCAAGCTATTCTAAACTTTTGTCCAACTTGTTAAATGTTAGTGATAAAATATACGAATGAAAGCTGAGTAATCGAAGTTGGAAATATTTATTCCATTTTTAATTTTTTTAATTAAAGGTTCGTCTTTAAAGGTAGTCAACGTTCCAAATAAACATTAAAAAAATGCTTATTGAAAACTCGAGGGAAAATTAAATGTGCTAAGAAACAGCAATAAAAGTTTTAATATAGTTTATATAGCTGGGATGAATGATGTCATTAAATACTCTATAATGATTTAAAGAAGGCAAGAGAGTCATTACATTATGCACTATTCTAAAAAGTAGAAATGAAAACGAAAACTTTCTTCATTTTAATTTTGTAATTATGTTTACTAAACTGCTGTTTGTAGAAAATGCAACACCATGAAGGAATCATCAGAATCAAATGAAATATTATTTTAATAATGGATATAGGATATTATGCAAATTAATAAAGTTTCAGAGCTTATTTTGCTACGTGGCGCGCGCAGCGCCCTCTGAATTGATGCTGAAAGCGTATAAATAAAGTGCTGTAGCGGGACGT